CACGTTGCACCAAGCCCTGTAAATTATGTAACTGGTCTTGACCCTGGTCTCCGAGACCATCGTGTCCCCTTTTCCTGTGCCAGAAGGCATGCATCCACCCCTTGGAGGTGATGTTCCTTCTCCCACTAGCTTGAAGCACGGTTTTTTTTTTTTTTTTTTTTTTTTTTGTCACCCAGGCTAGAGTGCACTGGCGCAATCTTGACTCACTGCAACCTCCTCCTCTCGGGTTCAAGCAATTCTCCTGCTTCAGCCTCCCGAGTAGTTGGGATTACAGGCATTCGCCACCACGTCCGGCTAATTTTTTGTATTTTTAGTAGAGCCAGGGTTTCACCGTGTCAGCCAGGGTGGTCTCGATCTTCTGACCTCATGATCTGCCCGCCTCAGCCTCCCAAAGTGCTGCCACCTCGCCAGGCCCGAAGCAGGGTTCTTAACATTGGAAAATGAATAGTGCTCCAATCCTGGAAGCCCCACCCCTTCTCTGCCATTGGTCTAATTGGCCAAGGCTCAAACCAATGTCTTCAAAGAACCTAGTGAGGCCCTAGCACTAGCTCTCCCATTGGTCCCCAGAGACAATGAGTCTCTTCTCACTGGCTGTGGTGGAAGTCCATAATATGCAAGACAAAGACTGATAACTGAGGAATGTACGAGACTGAGTTGAGCTTTGCTGTGAAGCCAAAGTTAATCTCCTGCCCTATTTCCTCCAGGGTGACTCAGGGGGACCGATGGTGTGCAGAGGTACCCTGCAAGGTCTGGTGTCCTGGGGAACTTTCCCTTGCGGCCAACCCAATGACCCGGGAGTCTACACTCAAGTCTGCAAGTTCACCAAGTGGATAACTGACACCATGAGAAAGAATCGCTAACCACCCCACCAAGAGTTAAATAACTGTGTGCTTCCAACAGAAAATGCACAGGAATAAGGACGCTGATGATCTATGACTTTACCTTTCCTCAAAGATATATTAAAATGTCATGACCTGTTTGTAAACCAGTCAAATTGGCAAAGACCTAAAACCAAAACAAATAAAGAAACACAAAACCCTCAGTGCTGGAGAAGAGTCAGTGAGACAGCACTCTCAAACACTGGAACTAGAAGTTCGTACAATCTTTATGGAAGACACGTTTGTCAACGTACACTGACACCCTTATTCACTGCCTTTGGCACAGTATCTCTAGTCTTAGGAAGATGCTACCAAAAAAAAAAAAGAAAAAAGAAAAATCCAAAATGTAGAACATGACTTAAATTCATCAGAATAGTATTTATCACAGAAAAAAGCAGAAACATCAAAAATGTTCCAAAAGTACTAAATGGCTTAAATAATAGTCTGGTTGGGCACAATGATTTTTTTTTTCTTTGAGGCAGAGTCTCACTTGGTTGCCCAGGCTGCAGTACAGTGGTGCAATTTTGGCTCACTGCAATGTCTGCCTACTGGGTTCAAGTGATTCCCATGCCTCAGCCTCCCAAGTATCTGGGACTACGGGTGCACATTCCCACATCTCAGCCTCCTAAGTAGCTGGGACTACAGGTGTGCACCACCACACCAGGCTAATTTTTTATTTTTATTTTTTTGTATTTTTGGTAGAGACAGCGTTTCACCATGTTGACCAGTGTGGTCTCAAACTCCTGATCTCAAATAATCCTCCTGCCTCAGCCTCCCAAAATGCTGGGATTACAGGCATGAGCCACCGCACCCAGCTCACAATGATACTATAAATCTATTATAAATGATACTTAGACAGAATTGTTAGTGTTATGCAAGAATGTTTAGGCTATATGATGTTAAATGACGAAAGGAAGAGACAAAAACACATAGGTATGTGATGTGATCCTAGCCATGAAAAATGAAATATTCATAGAATCAAATTGGCAAACACATGTCCCAGACTGTATACTGGGGTTGTCATGAGGTGTCTCCTTCCTTCTGTGTACTTTTCCGTGCATGTGCACTTTTATAACCCGAAAAATAAAGATGGGAAAAAAAGTCTGACGATCTAAGGTTGGACAGAGGAGACGTTTCTGGAAAGGAGATTACAAAGAAAAATGTGCCTGGTTTTGAGCCCTGGTCCTGCCCTCCCTGTTCCATGGTATATTCCCATTTCCCAGATCTCAGTTTTTCCTGCCTGTATAATGGGAGAGAGAAGAAAGGATGGAGAGAGGAAGAAGGAGAGGAGGAGGGAGGAGAGAACATGTCGACTTCATCAGTGTTGGAAGGGGTGTGAAAGTGTTTCTTATTTTTTTTTTTTGAGACAGAGTTTTGTTCTTGTTGCCCAAGCTGGAGTGCAGTGGTACGATCTTGGCTCACTACAACCTCTACCTCCCGGGTTCAAGCGATTCTCCTGCCTCAGCCTCCTGCATAGCTGGGATTACAGGCGCCCGCCACCATACCTGGCTAATTTTGTATCTTTAGTAGAGATGGGGTTTCTCCATGTTGGTCAGGCTGGCCTCAAACTCCCAACCTCAGGTGATCCTCCCACCTCAGCCTCCCAAAGTGCTGGGACTACAGGCATAAGCCACGGTGCCTGGCCTGGTTCTTACCCTTGCTGATGGGCCTGGCACTGCCATCATTCATGAACTCACCCCAAGGACCACGCACACAACTGCAGTCACGGCCAAGCACACATGCAGTTCTGCAAGTTCTGCAGACAGGCACGCATTGCCTCTGCAGGTGCAGCTAAAAGTGCAGCTGTGTCCCCAGGTACACACACTCCGGGGCAGCCTTGCAGGATCGCACACCTCACCCACAGTATCTCAGTGCCACACACAGATGCTGTGTGTGCTCAGATGTTCAGATTGCCACGTACTCTTCTGTACACAGGCATGTTCACATGGTGACAAAATTATCTCCCTCAGACCTAGGAGTTCAAGAGCGTAGCATGGCACAGTGCAAGTCAGTCACCTAGCACCCATCTCCCAGAGACAGCCACCTGTGCACCCTCTATCCCTCCGGGCAGGGACAGAAACTCCAGACACACAGCTGCTCCATCACACACACAGTAGCTCAAGCCATCTCCCCACCCCAGCCTCCCAAAGTGCTGAGATTACAGGCGTGAGCCACCGCGCCAGGCAATACTGAAAGTGTTTCTGACCATCTCACGAGTGACAAGTGAGGAGGGAGGCAGGAGGTTTACGGAGGGGATTGGGATGGCAGCAGACAGGACACCGGGGTCCCACAGGGTCTCCAGAAGTGAGCAACCAGTGCTGGAGGAAAATGGTGGTTTCTGCTCCCCAAGAACCTTGGGAAGGGGGTAGGATGACAGAGGAGTCCTCCGTGACTCACAGCCTGGCCACACCCCCAGCCACCTAACATCAAAGATCCTCTGTGTGGTCGGATGCTGCTGACCCTGACCTAGGAGCCACTCTAGCCCAGGACGCACCCCTCCTACCTGTTTTTCCTGTTTCTCTCCCAGAATTCCCTCCCTGCCAACATTCTCCAGATCCTCCCTCTCCTTATCTCACCTCCCTCTGAGTGTCTCCCAACCCAGCCACCCAGCCCTGTCATATTGCAGAAATTCTGCAGCCACTAATTCTGATTCTCCACATATAGGAGTTTAACACAAAAAACAGAGGAGTCCAGGCCCCCAGCCCCTCCTCCCTCAGACCCAGGAGTCCAGACCCCCAGCCCCTCC